AGGGCCTAGATGTGGGGAGATGAGGAGGTGCCATTGAGGCAGGAGCAACCAGGGCCACGTGGGGTCCTGGAGGCAGCCCGAGTGACCAGGTCCACTGCGATGGGGCCAGTCAGGTGGCGACTGGGAAGTGACCACTGGATCTAGAGATTTTACTTAGTTTCTTTACTCCCTTATGCAAATTTTTAATTTAAACTTAAAATTTTTAAGATAAATCCTTGAAAGTAAAACTAGTTTGTCAAGTCTGAACCTCATGGAGACTCACTCCCCCCAGGACGCGTGTCCCAGCATCCCCCCTAGCACCAGAGGCATGATGGCTGGGTCAGGAGGAGGGCCAGGCCGAGGGGCGCTGGGGGAGTGTGGGAGTGGGGCCCAGAGTCCAGGGCTGGCCCCAGCAGCTCTGAGCAAGTCCCTCCATGCTGCAGTCCAGCCAGGCCAAACTCCTCGCCAGCCTGTGGACATTCTGCACAGGGGCTGTGACTGTCCTCCTCCTGAAGCCTCCCTCCACCCGTCGCCCTTTCAGCCCTCACTCTACCACCCCTGCCTCGGGCGGCCGCCCTGACGCCAAGAACCCAGCGCCATCTGTTTTATTCTGTCATAAGGCAAAGAGCAGAGAGGGCTCTGACATCAACCCCTCGGCTGGGCTCCTCCTGCCACCTCCAGCCTGTCGCAGCCTCAGTCTCCTCACCTGTCATGGGCCAGTAACATTACCTCAGAGGGTGTCATTACCCCTGTAAGAGCTCAGGGTGCCTGGCACGCAGCACGTGCTCAGTAAATGTCACATGCTTGTTTTATAACATTTTATTTACCAGATGGGAAGGGGCTGCAGCTCCTGGAGGTGGAGCCGGGAGGGGGAGGGGGCAGCAGAGAAGCTCCACCCCCAGCTCCTGCCTCCCCCTCCCAGTTCCATCCCCCTTCCTGCCCTCCCTCCCAGCTCCCCACCACCCCCTCTGTTCTGAGTGCTCCCTGAGTTTCAGCTGGGGGTCCCAGGACACCCACATCACAGAGATGTCCTCACTCCAGCCCGAGGCCACCTGGGCCCCTTTGCTCATGCTGCCCACCTGCGAGAAGTGCCCCCACCATTGCCTGCGGGGCTCCCCTGCTTCAGGAGTGTTTCCTCCAGGGCCTAGGGAGCCTCTCCCTCATGTCTCCAGCTCTCGTCCACCCCAGAAGGTCCCTGCACCCAAGCCCCCTACCCTATCCCAGCCTCCAGAACACTCCACAGCAACTGCCTGTCTTACCTACCTGTGCACCTCCCTCATGGGCATCATAGTATCCCTGGGGACAAGCACAGGGCCAGTATACAGTAGGCACTCAATACATGCTCACTGGGTGAATACAGGAAGGAGAGCGTCCTGGGCCCCACCCTGGGCGGCAGTGGCCTCTGCCTCTCTGGCCCAGAGTGGCTGCTATAGACAATGAGGAACGAGAGAGGGAGCCGTCGGCGGGGCTGGGTTGTGGGGTCCTACAGGGACCCAGTGAGCATCCCTGAAGGGGGCGGCTCTAGGAACAGCTGCCACAGCCCAGTTCTCACTGCTCCTGGAAGGACTGAGAATTTTGATTACAGCCTGACACACCTCAAATCCTCAGACCCATAGCCTGGCCCCGAGGTTAGAGACCTGCTGCTGAGGGGGGGCTGGCGAGCTTCTGAGGTGGGCCTGGAGGGCTTCTCAGTTGGCCCACGCAGTGCAGCTGCCTCCCTGGATGAGCCGCTCGGCTCCCCAGACTGGGCTGCGGGCTCCTGCACCTGCTCCTGCTTCCCAGCCGCCCCACCGCACCTGCTCTCCCTAGGCTTCCACTTCAGAACCCGCCTCCCTGTGCTGCAACTCAGAGCCCCGCTCCGGGTCCCTCAGCTGCGTTTCCAGGCCCTTCTTCCAGCCTGAGCCCAAGGGGTCCCCACGTGCTGCCTCCAGGAAGGGACTGCAGGGACAAAGGCCCTGCCCATGGGGCCCTCACTCTCCCTCCCAGGACGAGGGCTCCAGGCAGGCTGCTGGCCCGGACAGAGGGACAGAGGAGGAGCAAAGGTTCAGATGTCGGCAGGGCGGCCATGAGGTCCACAAACAGGGCACAGTGATGCTGGTCAGAGAGAAGTGGCCTCGAGAGGCCAGCTCAGTGAGAGTCGAAAGACCCGAGACCACTGTCCTGTGGGACCTGGGCTCGAGCCAGCGGCGATGGGAGGCTAGTGAAGAGCTGAGGGAACATGGGAGTATGAGAGTCTAGAAACATGGTGCTCAGGTAGTTTGATGCCTCGCCTTTATTTTAAGATCAGTTTTATTTTAAAAGTGCCTGAGAGAGTCTCTGGGCATTCCCACAAGCTTAGAATAGGTTCCCTCTAAAACGGTGTAAGTCCCTCATGTCCCCGAGATCTGAGTCGCTGCCCGGCCCACCGCAGTGCTGGACAAGCATTTGCCCGCAGGGCGGGCAGGCGGATGGGCAGCAGAGGCCACCTGTTGCCACATGGCTGGTCAGAGCAGGCAGGGTGGGCATGCCCACACTGGGACCCATGTGTGCTTTAAGGCGGTTCCAAAGGAAATCTGGCCTGGGAGCCCCATCAGCCTGGCGACACCCCCTACTCAGGCTGAGTGGCTGAGCCACTGGATGCTGTGCTTCAAGGCCTAACCCAGGGAACTGAGAAGAGAAATACCTCCAGGACACAGGCTTGTGCTTCCTGGAAGCAGCACCTGAAAGGCAGGGGAGGGGGACTCCTCTCAGGGGACAGGCTCTCAGACCCCTGGCGCCCACGGTAAAGGTAAGCCCCTGAATTGAAGCAGCTTTACTGTTTTGTTTTTTAAACAAAGCACCAAAAATGCTCATTGTTTTCTTTAAAATGAGTTTGGCTGTGTGGCCGGCCTGGTGGCATAGTAGTTAAGTTCGCTCGCTCCGCTTCAGCGGCCCAGGGTTCGCAGGTTCGGATCCCGGACATGGACTGATGCTCTGCTTATCAGGCCATGCTGTGGTGGCATTCCATATAAAGTAGAGGAAGATGGGCACAGATGTTAGCCCAGGGTCAATCTTCCTCAGCAAAAAAGAGGAGGATTGGCTAGGATTTTAGCTCAGGGCTGATCTTCCTCACAAAAACAAAACAAAACAAAAAAAATGACTTTGGCTGTAAAGAGCCATTTGCCTGGAAAGAAAACCATGTAACAAAGAGGTGTGCAAGGGGCACCTCCACCCTGGCCGCTTCACTCCAGGCCACCCCACGCTGGCCCACTGGGGACATTCGTCCTTCACCTCCTACGTCTTCAGACAAAGGGAGATTCTCAAATTCCAGCAATGAAGGCAGATTGTAAAGTGTCCTCCCTCGTGTGACATGACCAGCTCCTGCTGTTCCTGATTTGTAAACTCAGAAAAAAGACAACTCTCTCTGAGGAAAGAGGACAATAAAAGGGCCAGGGTGCTGGGCTGTTGGGGGGGGTCTGGAAAAGCCCCCAGGGCTGGGCACCCTCCAAAGACCACCCTAGAGACCACCCGGAGAGGGCAGCTCTGGGGACCAGCAGGCTGGGCAGAGCGAGGCAGGGGACGGACCCGTCCTCAAGCCCAGGGCAGATGCAGGTGTGGTGGAAAGGGCTGGACCAATACATGGCCAGTCAGGCTTCCCTGAAATCCTGGGAGTCTGCAGCCCCCGCCCCACCGGCCAGTCTTCCCAGCCCTCATCACCCAGGTCTTCTGTGCATTTCAGTCCCGAGTCCTGCCCAGGACACATGAGTCTCTTTGGCATTTAAATCTCCAGAGTCTCACTCCCTGGCTCAGGGTAGGGTCTGCCCTGCTCACTCCCCCACTCCTCCTGCATGCTGCACATGACTCGTCCAGCTCCTATCACAGAGGCTGACCCTGTCCTGCTGCACTGCTGCTGCCCCCTAACCCCTCCCACCACTGCACCCCTATTCCCCATGGGAGGGGTCCTGTGCTCACCCTCAGCAGGTTCCCCTGAGGCCTCTGAGGGGCCTCTCCATGGCCTGTATCTGGACCAGTCCTGGCCTCTGTGTCCACCCCACATTTTCCCAGGATACTTCACTGACCTCTGCATCTCCCACTGGCATCTGTCCCAAGGACTCCCTGTCCCCTACTCTCTGCCCAGCTCCACACCTGCACACCAGCTGCCCACTGGGCCCCTCCATCCAGCTCCCCATGGCCTGTTCACGCCTCCTCCTCCTCCCCCCGTGACCACACACCCTACGCTCCCTCACCTGGCAGGAGGAAAGGGCAGTCCCTGTCTGGGAGTCAGGGTGTGGCTGAGAAGCAGTGGACCAAGCTCAGGACACTTGGGCTCTAACCTTGGCTCTAAGAAGCCCTGAGATGCTCAGCAAATGACCGAGCGCTTCCTATCTTGGTGTATTTAAGGCCTAAATCCACGTGCTGCCCTGGCATCTTTGAGCCCACAAGACCCCAAAGGCTGAACCGTGAGCTCCCCTGCTCTCACCAGATGTGCTCCCCATCCCACAGGAAAGGCTCCCTCAGGCATTCCCCTGTCAGCCAGACCAGCTGCACCACCTGGTCTTCACATAATGCGTTTCATCTCCCTGCCAGCCATGGAAGTATCCAAACAAGCCAATCACATCCTCCTGCCGGTACCGGGGGCACCTCACCCCCTTATTACTATGAAGCCTCTTCCACAGCCCTGGCTGGGTCACTGTGCTCCTGAGTGCACCCCAGGTGGACCTGCATGGTGTGTGGCGTCCTCCTCCCCTGGGCTGTGAGTATACGTGACAGTCGATCTCACCTGTCCAGCATTGGGTGTCAGGTTTCCGGCCATCTTGTACTGTTTAGGGTGGGGGTCCCTCCCTCCCCAATGGGGTGAATAGGAGGCGCTCAGAACACCTGCTTCTTCATCTGCTGAGGGTGACAGCAAGACTGCCTGGTGACTGCTCTGGGTGGCTGAACAGCCACCTGTCAGGAGGTGTGAGAACCATTTATCAACACCCAGAAGGGACCTGGCACCATCAGACTTGACAGTCCTGCCAGCTTTCTGCAAAACAACTGTCTCAGGCAGGAGGGACACTCACCACACGATGGCCAACCTGGGGATGGTAAACATGAGGGCTGGCTCGTAGTCGTCAATCATGTCCTGGGTCAGGTACCCGAAGTCCAGGGCCCTGGCCAAGAGAGAGAGAGAGAGAGAGAGAGAAGGGGTGAGAACCTGGCCTACCGCCAGCACCCAGGGGTCAGACTGGAGGTGGGAAGGCGGCCTGCTCAACCCTTGCCCGGGTCCATGCTCAGTGGACAGTCAGGTGGGTGACAGGAGTTCCCTTTAGCCGTCACACTTGCAGAGAGCTGCTGCTGAGAAGAGCGCCACGCCCCACCCTGGAAGCCCAGGCAGAGGCAGCTCACACTTGACCTTCCCCGTCTTTCCACCTGCCTGATCCCACCTCTGGGACAGAAGACGTGGGGAGTGGATAACAGTTGTGCTTGCTGAGGAGGGGCTGACGAAGACAGCTATGACGTCCAGCAAACAAAATAAGAAAGCTAATCCAGTCGTGGGCTTGCTTAACCAGGAAATCGAAACAACTCTAGTGGCAAGAATAAACGTGAAACAAAAACATTGCCCCAGACAATTTAAGACTTCCCTGAGAAACTGAAATTGCTCTCCTGGATTTATTCTCACTCCCCAGGCATAAGCAAATGGCTTTCTCTGCACTCCACGAGCAGGTGCTGCTGGCATCATGATGATTCAGAATAAAAGATATTTTCTGTCATCTTATTTCCTGGCAATTTGAAATATCTCTCAACGCATAAACAGTGAATAATCTGTCTTTAAAAGTAACAAACTTATGATGTGATATTAGGCAATTTCAAACTTAGCTAATATCATAGCACTAGTCAAATAGGAGGAACATTCTAGGTTAAGTCTTAGTCCCAAAGTCCACTCAGAAAATCTGATGAGAATATTGATGATTCACCCCCTAAAACCTTGTTCAGCAGACCTGAAACCCAGCAATCGTCCCATTTTGGCCTGGGGAGGTGAGGAGGAGAGGAGGTAAGAAGATGAGGAGGATGGAGGTGAGGAGATGAGGAGGTGAGCAGTGAGGAGATTAGGAAGATGGAGGTGAAGAGGTGTGGAGGCGAGGGGTGAGGAGGTAAGGAGATGAGGAGGTGAGTGAGGAGTGAGATGAGGAGGTGAGGAATGAGGAGGTGAGGAGTGAGATAAGGTGAGGAGTGAGGAAGTGAGGAGTGAGATGAGGAGGTGAGGAGTGAGCAGATGAAGAGTGAGGAGGTGAGGAATTGAGGAGTGAGGAAGTGAGGAGTGAGATGAAGAGGTGAGGAGTGAGATGAAGAGATGAGGAGGGAAGAGGCAAGGAGTGAGGAAATGAGGAGGTGAGGAGCGAGGATGTGAGGAGGGAAGAGGTGAGGAGTGAGGAAGTGAGGAGATAAGGAGTGAGGAGGTGAGGAGTGAGGAGGTGAGGAGGGAAGAGGTGAGCAGTGAGGAGGTAAGGAGTGAGGAGGTGAAGAGTGAGATAAGGTGAGGAGTGAGGAGGTGAGGAGTGAGATGAGGAGTGAGGAGATGAGGAGTGAAGAGGGAGGAGGTGAGGACTGAAGAAGTGAGGAGTGAGGAGGTGAGGAAGTGAGGAGGTGAGGAGTGAGGAGGTGGGGAGTGAGATGAAGAGGTGAGGAGTGAGGAGGTGAGGAGGGAAGAGGTCAGAAGTGAAGAAGTGAGGAGGTAAGGAGTGAGGAGGTGAGAAGTGAGGAGGTGAGGAGTGAGGTGGTGAGGAGGGAAGAGGTGAGGAGTAAGGAGTGAGGAGGTAAGGAGTGAGGAGGTGAAGAGTGAGATAAGGTGAGGAGTGAGGAGGTGAGGAGTGAGATGAGGTGAGGAGATGAGGAGTGAAGAGGTGGGGAGTGAGATGAAGAGGTAAGGAGTGAGGAGGTGAGGAGTGAGGAGGTGAAGAGGCCAGGTGAGGAGATTTGGAGGTGAGGCAGGAGGAAGCTCAGCTCCTTGCAGCTCTCATCCTCTATCACGTGAACTCCGCCTGCAGGATCTGCCCTTGGGGCCCAGAGAAAAGGGACAGTGGGGCTGAGGAATGAGGTCACACAGATGTGAGAAGCAGAGCCCTCTCGGGTCTGCCCACCACTGGGGGAAGGCCGACGTGGTCCTGGAAGGGGGCTGGTGCCTTCCCGCCTCAGGCATCCCCGAGACAAGGTGGCTCCTTCTCCCAGTGCCGCTCTCCGCCCCAGGCCTGGAGCAGGGCCCTGTCCTGGTCAGTGGGTGGCCTCACCTCTCCACCGTCTCACAGAACAGCACGATGACCTCCTGCTGCACGTAGTACTCTCGCGGGGACTTGACGGGCACCATGGCCGAAACATAGCTGCAAATACAGCGAGGCAAGTGAGGGTGGCCCCCGGGGCCACCCAGCCTCCCTGAAACAAGGTGTCTTCAATGAAAACCCAGTTAGTTCCCTCTGACTGCAACGCAGCCCATCTCAGCAGCCTCATGAATGCACAAGTCACAGCATTGCCACTTACGTTTTAAATCAAAACTTCTCCCAGGGTCAGGCCTCGTCCAGCGCACCTCCTGGGGCCCCACAGCCCTGCCCCATCTCGGCCCTGACTGTCCTGGAACTGTCATTGCCCACTTTCGTGACCATCCCCTGCCTGGACACCAGCCTCAATGAGAGAGCAAGTGAATGAATGAATGAACGAATGGGTGCACGAGTGAGTGAACAACCCCTGAGCCCCGGCAGTGGGTAAATCTCAGCAGCTGGTGGGGAAGCAGCACGGGGCCAGGCTAGGGGCTCACAGGACGTTTGCTGAGTGGGTATAAGAAAGTAACAGTCTGTCCAAGCATTCCCCAGGTGAGAACATTTTTCTTTCCTTCTGAATCACTAATTTTTCTTGTTATGAAAGCTCATTTGGAAAATCTGGAGAATACAGAAAGGAGACAGAAAATGAAACTCGACTGTCCGCACTCCCACTTCCTAGAGAAGTGCCCTTAACGTTTGGGTTGATTTCCTTCTAGAGGTCGACAGGTTACAAGACGGACAATTTTTATTAACAGGGACCACCGTGGATTTGGGGTCCTGCTTTTCCTTGCCTACTGTGAGCATCTTCGTGTATATGGAGGCTCGCAGCATGCCTGCCCCCCAGTCCAGGGCCTCTCCAGAGCCCTCTCCCGTGAGGCCCCCTGGGCCCGCCTGTCCCTGTCTCCTGCAAGACGTGTGTGTTGAAGAAGGAGCAGGTGAGTGCAGCCTGTGGGGAGGGGTCGGGAGGGCACTAACTGTAGAGGATTAGGGCAGGCTCCCCCTTTTGAAGGAGTAGCAGCAGCAGCCCCCCAGGCCATGGTGGGGGACAAGCAGCAGGAAGGAGGGGGTGAGCACGGAGCAGGTGGATGCCCCCCAGGGCTCAGTGCTGCTGCTGGCACATGAGCATATCGGGTGAGGCAGGGGTGCTGTGTGATCCATGCAGACTCTCCTAACCTGGGATGTGCCCCTGCCCTGACCCCATGGAGCTGGGGGGGCCTCTGGAGAGCAGCGGCCACTTCATCCTTGCTCATGCTGTGTCCCAGATCTGAGCACACAGAGCTGGTGTTCGTGGACTGAATGGATAACAGCTGGGACGAAGGGGGCAGCTGGTAACCAGCAAGCCTGATATGGTGAGTGTAGGCACGGGCTGCAGGCAGAGGTGGGAGGTCAGAGAGGAGAGCAGAGCAGGCGGCAGCGCAGAGGCTGACAGTGGCAGCACCAACTGTGTTCACAGGAACGTGCTGGGCTTCAGCGCTGGGGTGCATCAGGGAGGGGCAGACGTAGGGGTGAACACCTGGGGTCTCTTTGATCCCTGGGTCACCTCTGCTTGTCTCCAAGACGTGTCTCCCCTCCCTGAAAAGGTCTCCCAGTCTCATTCCCCACGTCCCCCCACATTGTATCACCCAGGGATTAACTACGCCGACTGAGGGCCCCGAACCAGCCTCGGCTCCTCCCTCTGCAGAATTTTCTAGCTGGAAACATCCAGCTAGAGCCCTGCATAGCTGGTGCTAACCCCCCTCACCCCAACTCATAAAGCAAAGGCTGTGACCCCCATGCCGTGGCACATGCATGTGGCCCTCAGGGTCACCTCAGCTCGAATTCAGCAAACAGGACGTCGAAGTGCCTCAGCGCCTCCCTCATCTTTTCCGTGTAGGTGTTGAGGTCCCGCAGCGCCTGGTCGCGGAGGGTGCCCCGCACGTCCTCCAGGCTGCGGGTCAGCTCCTTGGCCAGCGGGCGCATGGCCATGCTCTCGAGCTCGCGGTTCATGATGATGGAGCCGGCAGCCAGGCACTGCAGGCGGGAGAACACGGGTCAGGAGAGGCCCAGGAGCACGTGCCGCAAGTTCTCAGGAGTCACAGCATCGTGCCCAGTCCCCAGAGCCCAACCAAGGAGGGTGACCGGCCTTGTCCCGTCCCGAGGCTGCAGAGCCCTCCACCAGCGTTCTTTACCATAAATGCACGTCTTCCTTCAGCTCTGCAGGGAGCAGAGTGCTAACACATTTAGCCAACACTGAGAAAGGCCCCGTCCCCATGAGAGGATTGTAGTCCCCAAAGCTGGTCAGACACGGGACAGGAAGGCAAAAGGCAGAACAGTGGCCAGGCTGGGGTGTGACCTTCATCCCGAGACCCCTCCTCCAGGCCCTCTCTCCAGGAAACCCGCCTCGCCTCATATTCCGGTCTTCTGGCACCTGCCCCCTCCTGGTTTCTCTTAAATCCAGAGCAATCATGGTGGCAATGAATACTCTCACTGTGACCGATGTGGTCCTCACACAGACCCCAGGGGCAGGCAGGGAGGGGAAGGCTATGTGATGCCCCTGGGTTTGGGGGCTCCCTGCAGTGGCCTCCCAGTCAATGTGACTCCTGTCCTCTCCTCGCCCAGCCCACAGGCCGACAGTGGAGAGCCCAGGAGCTCCCAGACGCCACGTTCAGGGCTGTGCGCCAGACACACAGCTCTCAGGGCTGACCAGGGCTCCCCGAGATCGCCGACCTTTCTAGAAAGTAAAGACACCTCGTGTCCACAAATGCTCGCTGCTCAGAGAAACCCAACCTTCCCCAGAACCGAGACTCGCAGTGTGGGAGTCCTCTAGCTCCTGGGCGGTAAGGAAGGCCCCCCTGCGCCCGCAGATCCACCCACACCTGCCCTGAGCTCAGGGAGGTACTTCCCTGGGCATGCACAGGGTGCATGTGGATCACCCCAGCTTGTTCTACACGCTCACGGGGTGTGCGTCAGACCCAGCTCCTGGCTGAGGGGTGAGGCATCCAACCCCGCTGGGGGCCATGGAGATGTGGGGCTCCCCTGCCTGCCACGGGCCAGCTGCTTCACCAGATTTGGGCAAGAACCACTCAATCAGCTAACCCTGTGACGATGATCAAGAGAAGAGGTGGGACAAGAGGCAATTTCCTGGGAGACAGAAGGAGCGGGTCGCTGATTTCCCAGACCCTCTGGGAGGGAAGCGTGGAACTGGCTGGCACCTGGACCCCGCACAGAGGAGTCGGCGCCTTAATGCCCATGTGCCCCACCAGAGACTGGACTTGCATCGTCCCATGGCTCCACAGCTGCCCGTGCCCCTGGGACCCACTTTACAGAGTGAAAACGGAGTCTAGGAGGAGGGATAGCCTGCCCAACTGGAGCCACAGCGAGGACGCCCCAACCAAGTGGTTCAGGGGAGCAGGGTGGGACGGGTGGATGTGGGCATGGGGTGAAATGGGGGAGCAAATGGGCACAAGGGCAGGCAGTGTCGGAGGAAGATGCGGGCATCCTAAGGATTCATTGCGAGCAGAGGCAGGGAGGATGGAACAGTGCAGAGAGGGCACAGACGTCAGGCTGCGGACCTCACTCCCCAACGTCCCAGAGCACGGCCCAGGGGAGGAGTCTGGTGTCCACAAGGTGGGGGTACAGGAAACCGCTGGCTGGGGCGAGGCTGGTCCTGTCACCTATAGGGGGTGGGCACCTTCCCCTCAGTGCCTCAGTTTCGTCATTGGGAGATGAAGATCAAGATCTGAGGGGTTATGGTGACTTGTGGCCGAGTAAGGCCCCAGTGCAGCTCCCTCGCCCCCGGGGGCGAGGGTGAACACGCCTGTCGGTGGGGGAGGGGAAATGCTGTGCTTAGTGTTAGTATTGTTGCTACAAGAACTACTTTTAGGCCCTACATGTCTAGGGCCTGAGAACTCATAAAAATCACATGAGAAACCTCCTGTCTATATTTGCTCATGTAGTTTTGGGGGAGCAGGTTCATGACTTTCCCCCAACCCTCAAAGGGGCATGTGGCCTAACAGGCTCAGAACTGCGCCATCCAGAATGTGTGGCAGGTGGGGCTCTTGGAGGAGGAGACAGCGGGTCCCTGCACCTGCGGGTGCACATGGGTGAGGTTCATAGAGAAACGGCTGGACAATGCCCAACACCGTGACCCTGGACCCAGGCGGCCACCCACTACCTCAGCGCCAAACCAGAGCTGGCCGGCCAGGTTGTCGTGCCGGATCTCCTCAGGGAACTTGACGCAGAAATCCCGCGGGGCGCGGTCCTGAGGGATGCACACGTCCATAATCTGGTTAATAATGTTTAACACGTTGTCCTGAAACAGAAACGAGAAAGCGCGCTAAGATGCAGCTCCCAAGGTCAGCTGTCAGGGACTGCTGGGAGAACACAAAAAACACATACGGTCCATTTTACCGTTCCTTAAAGATTACGGTAACACGTCGTGCTTGCTATGCAATTGCTACAAAAAGTTCAAACATTCCCGAAGTATGTAAAGAGTGAAACTCCCGCCTCCCCCTTCCCGACCCTCATGCTCGCCACACTCACGTAGGTTACATATATTTATCTAGAGCGTAGGCCGCGCTGTGCACATTGCTCTGTGAATTGCTCTGCTCGCTCGATGATGCCTAGGGGAGCGTCCCATGTTACCATGTAGATTTTGCATCGTCCTGTGTAACGGCTGTACCACACATTTCTCTTCCCTGCTGACCCACGCCCAGGCTCCCTGCAGCCTCGGCTGCCATGACTGTCCCAGAGCATCTCTCTCTCTGAACATCTGTACCTGAATTTCTTAGGATAGAGCTCAAGAAATGGAATTGCTAGGTGGACAGACACACGAAAAGTTTATTTTCACCACCAAGGTGCTGTGTTGCTTTTATTAACATTACAAGCCTGTGTCATCCTGGGCGTGTTCACAGCACAGACAAGATCTGCTGTCAGGGAGTGACATCACTAAGAGACAATATGTAAAACCAGCCTTCTCAAACCCTCCACAGAGTGGACATTAAACTCTGTCCCATGTGTGAATAAAAGGGCCTCGCCTGGCACCAGTGATCACAGGAGCCAGGGGGACAGACAGACTCTCAGCAAGCTGGGCACCCAGGCAAAGCCGTCGTGCTCTCTGAGCCTTGGCTTACTCCTCTGTAGAGTGAGCAGGCCAAGCGCAGCCGGTCCCCTGCTCCGTCATCCAGGCAGCATCCCCTCCCAACCCCTCTGGAACCAGCAGATCAATCACAGCAACAGTAAATCAGGCGGCAACCAAGAGGCTCTGGCTTCCTTCAGGGATGTGGAGACCCTGACTCTGCCCCTCACAGCTGTGCAACCTGGGACAGGCTGCTTAACTTCTCTGATCCTCTGGGCTGTCTGTAAAAGGGAGACCATCATTCCTGGGCCGCCGGGAGGACTGTGAGAGCTAAAGTCTGTAAAACCCTTGGCTCCGTTCTGGCCCACAGCAAACCTCAATACATGGTAACTTTTGTTTTAAAGACTCTTTAAAATTATTTTACTTAATTTCTTCATGTTCAAAATACAAAGGACAACTTTTGAACATTTTGGGTATACAGGGGTAACAAGCTCATTTTATTTTATTTTTTATAATTTTTTATTTATTTATTTTTCCCCCAAAGTCCCAGTAGATAGTTGTATGTCATAGCTGCACATCCTTCTAGTTGCTGCATGTGGGACGCTGCCTCAGCATGGCCGGAGAAGCGGGGCGTAAGTGCGCGCCCGGGATCCGAACCCGGGCCGCCAGCAGCAGAGCGCACACACTTAACCGCTAAGCCACGGGGCCGGCCCAAACAAGCTCATTTTATTGCATCGTAAATCACATGCCATTCTTTTCTTAAAATTATCCTGTTCTTTAAACATGTGCCATTCATTCTGTGGGATTACAAGAACATTGAAAGTTTAGTTTTTTTCTTTAATTTGTTAAAGAAAAAGTTAATGCCCATTTACCACAGGAAAACTGGAAACACCAGGAAAGTATAGAAGCAGGGAAAATGTCCCTGGGGAAAAATGACTTCAGGTGGGGCATATTTCCTTCTAATTCGTGTCCATGGGTCTGTTTCCAATCAGAGTTGAGATCGTCCTGTGTACATAATTCCGTATTCAGCTGCTGTCACTTACTGCTGGAACACATTACTATAACTCTTCCAACTTGTGACGGATAGCTACAGAAGATTTCAGCATATGGACCATCCTATTAACTCGCTGCTTCCTCTCCTGCTGGACGTTTATGATGTTTCTAATTCTCCACCACCGCAAGTAATGCTGCAGTGACCAGTGTGGTGCATGACACTCTGAATTTTGGGTTATTTCCTTAGGATCCACTCATTTCTAGAAGTGGAATTACAAAGTCAAGAGTGTAAACTGCATTTCCAGGCTCTGATTACAATCTGCCAAATTGCTTTCCAGCAATCTCACTAATTGACACTCTCACCCTCAGCAATTTTATATCTCAACATCCCCCCTTTCCTCCCTCTGAGGCTTGAGTTTCATTTTTCTTAGGAAGCAGATGTGAAAAATCCCCATGCGCAGGAAGCATGACCTTTCTAATGCAAAAAGTCATTGCACTAAACTCTGAAGGAAATTCTGCATCGTAAGGAAAATGTTAAGCCTCTACAACACAACAAATAAAAATAAAATTCAACCAACACCAAGTAGTACTATTATGAGTTCTTTTCAAAAGGTTTTCTGGGTGGGAAGGTCCCTTTCTCACGATTCAACAAACTAATGAACAAACAATGGCAGTAACAATAGTTAGTGCTCCGAAAATGTCAGCTATTAAGAGCCAGGGATCTGCGCTCAGCGAGGTGGCATGGCTTGGACTCACTCCCATCCTGCCTGGCCCACCTACATCAGCTGCCTGAGGGTGAGGGCAGGGCCATCTTTTATTCACTGATGGGTCCCCAGCCCCCAGAACAGTGCCGAACACAAAGTGTGCCTCAGTAAACGTTTGCTGGGAGCTTATTCCAGCCAAGATGGAGTAACACGAACCAAATGTAACAGAAACCTCAAACAACAGCAACAATAATGGAAAAAAATAAGACAATGTTCTCAAGACACTGGACTTCAGGCAACAAGTGATCCCTGAGAGAAGAGAAACAAATGAGGTAAGAACTAAGACCACCCAGCTCACTGCCTTGAGGGAATGTTCAGGTCATGGCCCAGAGAGAGGGTACCACGTGGAACCCAGCAAACTCAGTAGCTGAAGAGACAGAGCTGACAGTCCAGGGAAACCAAGGCAGCTAGAATCCAGAGGAGAGAGGACCAGAGAAGAGAGAGCTGCCCAAAGAAAGAACTTCTGGGGAGGGCCCCCCGAGTATTCAGCAGGGAGCTGATTAACACGTGCCTGTGAGTGTCCAGAAGTATGTACCTGAAGGATTAGAGGGAGCAGTGCCCAGAGCTCTCAGAGGCCAGATGGTAGAAAAGCTCATAGCTCACAGGGCATTGGGTAGAGTACCCAAAAGTGTCTTGTCTCAGGAGTGGAGAAGAGTTAGCCCCACACTAAACACAGCTCCGACCCCACCTGACATCTTAAAAAACAGAATCCAAAAGGATCAAACTGCTTCTTAGTAACCAAACTGCATCATAAAAAAAACCTCAAAAAGATTTATAGGAATACAAAAATATTCAGCTCCCAGCAAGGTAAAATTCATAGGCATCCAATAAAAAATTACCAGCCTTACAAAGAATTAAGAAAATATGACACACAATGAAAAGAAAAGGCAACCAACCAAAATCAACCCAGATCTGACCCAGATGAGAGAATGAGCAGTCGGGGAACATAAAGTCATAAAGGACATAAAGATGGTCGTTATAACTGACTTCCACGTGCTCGTAAGGTTAGGAGAGACGATGAAGAAATAAAAAGGACCCAAACTGATCCAGAGATGAAAATCACAGTATCTGAGATGGAAAAAACAAAACAAAACGAAACACTGGATGGGATTAACTTCAGATTAGACATTTCAGAAAAAGAACAAGAAACTAGAAGACACAGCAATTGAAACTCTCCAAATGAATCAGAGAGAAAATAATAATAAAACAGCATGAGTGAGCTGTAGGACAACTTCAAGATGTCAAATATACATATAACTCAAGACACAAAAGGAGGAGGAATGGGACAGAAAAAAATACTTGAAGAAAATATGGCCAAATTTTTTTCCAAATTTAACAACAACTATAAACTCACAGATCTAAGAAGTTCAATGAACTCGAAGCACAAGAAACATAAAAAAAACTACACCAAGTCATAGCATAATCAAATCAATCAAAACTAATAAAAAGAGAAAATCTTACAAGTCACAAGAGAAAAAAGACATGTTACATACAAGGAACAAAGATAAGAATGACATTAGAGGGGGCCAGCCCCGTGGCTTAGTGGTTAAGTGCGCACGCTCCTCTACTGGTGGCCCAGGTTCGGATCCCGGGCGCGCACTGACGCACTGCTTGTCCAGCCATGCTGAGGCCACGTCCCACATGCAGCAACTAGAAGGATGTGCAACTATGACATACAACTATCTACTGGGGCCTTGGGGAGAAAAAGGGAAAAATAGGAAGAGGATTGGCAATAGATGTTAGCTCAGGGCTGGTCTTCCTCAGCAAAAAGAGGAGGATTGGCATGGATGTTAGCTCAAGGCTGATCTTCCTCACAAAAAAAAAAAAAAAGAAGAAGAATGACATTAGATTTGTCATTGGAAACAATGCAAGTGAGAAGAGGGTGGAACAAAATCTCCAAAGTATTGAGGGGGAAAAATAATTAACAACTTATAATTCTAGACCCAGCAAAAGTATCTTTCAAAATTGAAGGTAAAATACTTTTTCCTTCAAACAACGGCTGAAAGAATTCATGACCAGCAGACCTGAACTACAAGAAATGCTAAAGAAAATCTTTTGGGCAAAAGGAAAATGACACCATATCTAAATACAGTCATGCATCGCTTAATAACGGGGACACATTCTGAGAAATGCATCGTTAGGCGATTTTGTTGTTGTACAAACATCATAGAGTGCACTTACACAAACCTAGATGGTACAGCCTCCTACACACCTAGGCTCTATGGTACTAATCTTACGGGACCACCATCGAATATATGGTCTGTCATTGACCTAAATGTGATTTTGTGGCGCAGGACTGTGAAGATCTTCACAAAGGAATGGAAAGCACCAGAAAGAGTGACTGCTTGGTAAATATACAAGATTCTTTTATTACTATTTAATTTTCTATAAAAATTTTGACTGTTTAAACAAAAATACTGGCAATACAGTGTGAGTCTAAACATTGGTAGAGGGAAAACATATGACAATAATAACATG